TACTTATTATGAAAATTAAAAAATGGTAAAGGACTTTGCTACTCGATTTGACCTCCTCTACCTGTATATGACCGGTGGGGCGATTATTGCCAGACACCCTGTATATAAAATTTCTTTTGGTTATTGTATTTTGATCTAGCTTACATTTTTGTAAAATGCGCGAATTAATATACTTATTTTCATACCAGTAAATTTCATAAGTTGTAAATCCATTTACATTTTTTTTTCTCTTTCATTAAGACCTCATAACTTTCCACATCCTCCAAAGATTGTGCTAGATTCTGTCCCTGGTAATTGAGATCGCTATCTCAGACCAAAAAGAGAATCGAACGGAGTTCTGTAAAACGGAGTAAAATCGATTCGTCGTTGACCCGTTCACAGGAACCAATCCGTTCGAATTCACAAACAGATCCCTCATAAAACCCTGTTTTGCGAGTTTACTATTGGTGTATGGTTTATGATTCGACCGCCCTTCCCAGGTAGGATGTAACATATAACTAAATGTTAAAATAGTATTGAAATAGTAATGGTAATATTGTTTTATTACTTTTAGTTTCACAACCCAGATAGCAAAATGCCAGCAGTATGCCAGCAGTATGTCAGCAGATTCAATCATGAATGTGCAGCAGATTCCGCTCCGCTGCGTCCTCATTAAGCTATGTTTTTGCTAGCACTATGTGACGGCACGATGTGACGGCAGAAACGCGGCAGAAATGCAGCACGGCGTGCCGTCACGATGTGACGCTAGAAATGCAGTCAATATTAAACAGAGCCTGCGATAGCAGTTACCGACAGCAGACGTACAGCAAAAATTGAGCACGATATGCAGTCACGATGTGGCGGCAGAAATACGGTAGAAATAGATCAGAAAATGTGCGTTTTTAAATGGTATTTAATGAAATTAAAAAGTGGTTTTAAAATGTCGTGTTTTTAAAATGGCATTTAAAATGTCGGGTTTAAAAAATAATATTTTAAATGTTTTTAAATAAATTAAAATATTTAATATTTAAAACAAATTTTTATTATTTATATAAAATTTTGTTATAATTTAATACAATTTAAGATAATTTCGTACGATTTTCTACATATTATTTTATATTCTACATATACTTTTATACATATTACTTATATTTTATACTTATTACATATACATATTATATTGTAATATTACATATT